CAAGTTTGGTGAGTCTAACACAATACTTTTGAAGATCCTTGTGCTTATACAGACGGACATACACATACACACTAGAATGCCTCTTTTTGTCATGTAGCGACAGGGTATAAGACAAATTGAATTTAAAAAAAAACATCTTTTCAAAATAATAAAACAATACGTACGTGATGCATAACCAAATGTACTTTTCGATTTTACAAATTTGCATCGGGTTTGTTTATGTTTAGATACAGCAGAAGGGCAAGAGATTGAGTAGCGATGCCATGTGGGAAAAAGTTTCTTATGAGTTAACCCACCATTAACAGGATTTATCAAATGTGACAACGACACTGTGAAGAAATTCCAACAGGATATTGTGTCTGGACCGATTCAATGCGATCCTAATGCGATTTTAATTGAGGCAACAAACACATGAGCAGCATTAAAGAACACCCTTAGCCTTGCTTACGATAGAAGGGATGTTTAAATGGAAATTCAATTTGAATAATTATAATTATATATACGTTGAATCTTATGTAATTCAAAATAAATGGTTAACCAAGTGCATTCAATTCGGGACGAATAAGACAAAACGGCATCGGCATACATGAATATTAGACAGGATAAAAAGGATTGTGCAATAAAACATTATTTGATGTGCTCAACTCAATCCATGTCACATAATGGATGTCTCATGCAGATTCTCAACGTATTCTATTATCGAGGACGTGTAAAGATCAAATTACACTGGGTAAGGATATCTGAGCAGAATAATATATAGCAGAAATCATCTGCTGAATCGTTCTTTGTCGAAATATGTTATTTTGTCTCATAAGAATTATATATACATACATAGTTCTCATTTCACATTAAATATTATTAGCTTGTGTTGGTTATTCAATGAGAAGAGAGAGGAAGGAGACTAATATAAAAAGGATTACAAATAACGATCATATCTACCATTAACGAATGCGAATCACCACAATAATAGCGTTGAAACTTTAAAAAAAATGCTGTAATTTAATTTAATGCCCGCATAGCTACAAAAATATTATTATTATTATTTCAGTATGAAGTAGTTCGTTCCACAACAGATTGCCAGTTTTTTACTTCTTTATTTACTGTGGTTTTTTTTTGTGCTGCTTAAATGCTGCCATGGCTATGGCCATCACTGCCCTCGCCATGGCCATCGTGGTCGTCGGTGTCATCGCCGCCTCACTAAACCATTAAAACGTCATAATAATCATAATGATAGCGCAGCAAAAAATAAAAGAAAAACAATCACTACAAATTTGCATAGCGCGCTCACCCATTTTTGCGTGTGCTCTTTTCTCTGGCGGTCTATGGCGGACCATGAACACTAGACACTGGACCGTGGACCACCGACAGACGGTGGACGGTGGACGCGGGCTCATTATTATTTTGCATGCTCGGCCACAAAAGGCGACTAAAGCCTGACATTTGCTTAATTATGGTAATTAGCAAAAAACCAAAGAAAGCGAAAAAAAACATAAAAATATGCGAAAGAGAACGCTAGTCGTATGATGCACAATGCTACTCCAGATGATGACCCCCCCATGATGATGATGATGATGATGACGTCGTCGTCATGGACAATAGTTTCGCTATCACCATGTCCATCATTGTGGTTCCGTGCTCGCGATATAAACATTACAAAAATGCCAACAACAAGCAGCAAGTAGAAAGCTAAGTGCGCAGACCAAAATAAAAAGTGCAGAAATGACGGGCTAGGAACCTGTTTTGGGGCCAGACTCCTGCAGCAATTGCTTCCGCATTTTGCGCGACTTAAATGTTGCCATGGCAGCGGCTCAAGTGGCCAGCGAGCAAGACCCGTGGCCCCAGCCACGCTTTTCAAAGCAAAATAAAATTGCGCATTATTTGTTGCACTTTGTTCTTCAACTTCTTCGACTAACGAAGTACCTAAGCAAAGCGCATTCGCTTTCATTTTGAATGTCTGCCCCAAACTTAAGCACAAAGCAATTTGAATTTCGCCAACTGCATGAGCAGAAGTGCCAGATAAATAACGATGCATTCAACGTTGATATGCTCTCTCAAATTGTAGACATCCCACTCTGAAGCTGCGATTCAGTAACCGGAATGTGGCACTATATACTATAGTAATACATAATACATAACATAAAAAAAACTCAATTTCTTGTGATCGATTCAATGGACCGACCTTGCCTTCATTCTAAGGAGCAGAGTCTTTTGTCTCCTGATTCGGGCATAGCTCCCCACCTTGCTCCACGGTCGTTGGGTTAGCCACGACAACTCTTTACCTTTCCATCGAAATTCGCCCGTCATTATATATTTTGTCTTTGCAGTGTTCTTTTCTCGTTACTTGGTTATATTCTAAAAAGGCCAAATGGATTTGGTAGTTCTGTTTGAATTCAGTTTCCATTCCCCGTTTCAAAGCACTTCAAAACAAACACAAGGGACGCTCTTGCCTGCCATACCACGACCACATTTAAAAGTAAAACATAATCTTAAGAAGTGAGAGCAGCTGCCGAGCCTGGAGCTCGTCAAGATTCCTGTGTCTGGCATCCTTTGGCGGCGGAGGAGCTCAACTGAAAATCAACAACTGCGTGAATAATGACTGCATAACTTCCTTAAAAGCTTCGCTGTTTGTATAACATATTTCATATCGACACGAAAAATGCTTTTATGCCACGTTTGCGTTTGTCAATTGAAGGGGGGGCAGCAGCAAGAAAACATACAAAGAAACCAAAAAAGGGGAGTCAGTTTTGCTTATGCTCTCTCCTGCCTGTTCAAATGTGTGCAGAAGACACTGTGGGATAACGTACTAACTGGAATTTTAATGCATTGAGGAGGATTAGTCTGTCTGATTCCAACTTATTGCTTTTGTCTCGACTGGGATCTCATTAAAGGCCAGCGGCTTATGTGCGACCCTAGCCGGTCAATCTTTAAGACACAGCAAACAATATTGGCCATGTAATGTGTAATTTATTGCGCTCCTCAAATTGAAAGTGAGCGCCATTAAAAAACAATAAACTAAACATGTAATAAATTCAAAGCGAAAACACAAACAGCCACACACACACACACATGCACGCACGATATATGTTGCTGTACATACATACATACATATAGTATAGACAAGGAGAGGGACCATCGAGTGGTGAGGGAACTGTTTTTTATGCTCTCTATATGCGCAACTAAATAACACACAAGGGCGTATGAAAGGGGGTCGCCTAACACTGCTAGTGTCCTAGAAAAAGGGAGTGGATGCCCGTTTTGAGGTGCGAATTATTTCCCTTATTTACTGGATCTTGCTTGTGTAATTGGCGATGTATTTATATGGAATGATGAATGGATACTTTATTGGTGGGAGGAGGATGAATGGATATATACGAAATACTTGTATAAAACTCGCGAAGGAGAAACAGTTTCAGAGATAGGTATAGCCCTTACAAATGTCATTAATGGGAGCAAACAAGGAGTCTAGTAATGACAAAAATACAATCCCCCCCTTGTGCGAAATGCTTACCCATCCATGTATACATGTATGTGTCTAAAGCGAAAATATATATACTATATCTACAAAATAAATTGACCAAATCTGCAGGATAAAAGGATTTGAAAGCAATTAATTGCCTGCGCATAGAAAGCATGCACAAAGCCAACAGCACGCCAGCATACCAGTACGTCACAACTAAAAATACAAGGACTTAAACAATAATAGCAACAGGAACAACAAAAAGATCAACCAAAAGCAAAATAATTGCATTTTACGCGCTTATTGTTCCTGTTGTGCTGGCGGTGAAAAACTCAGCGACCACCAGGCAGGGATTGATGCACAGCGATAAAGTAAATACACACATAAACACATACATATGTATATGCTATGTGTATATAGGGGGATAGCTCACGAAACATACCCAAATACGTACTACATATGTACATACGTACATATGTATATAGAAGCACATGCATTGGACTGAAAAATGCTTCATCCATTGCCGAATGGGGAGCATTTTTCAAAGAAATTGGTGGCAAAGGAAAAATTCGAAACCTATTAACATATTGCATTTTCTGATCTAATAAGCCAAAATAATGGAAAGTATTATATTAAATGGGAGGTTGGAATCAAAATGTTGGGATTTTGGGTGCGTTCCAGCATTCACTAATTTATATTTTCATGTTTCGACAACTTCCCTGCAAATTGCGATTTACGAAGGAGTGCACAATCAAAACACGTAATACAAGTATTTTTTGATAAAACAGAACAGTAGAAGGAATAACTCGCGCTAGTCCGATTCTTGCCCGTAACACCCTCTCTCCAATGCAATTGGATTAAAAAGTTTACATACACAAGTTGCATCACATATATAATCAAGAATACTACTTAGTTATATGTTGATGCTTGATGTTTCGATTTTTTAGTAGTCCATTTTACCTGTCGGGTCCAAAAACAAATAAAACCAACTGCAGCTTTTGCGTCGTTTAAAAGTTAGCTTTTTCAGGACTTATAGGAATACTTAGTATGGTTATTCCACCTCCTTGCCACACTGATCAAGAATATGAACACTGTGTGAGGCCTGTCACACCTCCTTCTGGGTGCTGCATACAGTCGTAGAAATCGCATTGAAATAGAAATGGAAACATGAGTATAAGGCTTTATACCACAGGAGACTTGAGGAATGATCAATTCTAGATCGGCCATATATATAATAATAATAAAGTGTTATGTTATTCATATTATATTTACCTAATATTTCGCTCTTTGGATTTGTCCTTTGAACAGAAAACAAAACAACTGGCACAGCAATTTATTATAGTGTAATGGTTCAGTTTCTCGTCGCGAGGGTGAAATCATTAATGTGGCTTATTATAATAATCTAAAAACAGATAGGTTTGTCGGCTCATTAGGTACATCTATCTCATATGAAAATAAACAAAGTCCCAATGAATTACTTCTGTTCCGTCGATGTTCTGAATATTGATTCTTCATTCCTAACAGAGCGCAGAACTCAAGAATCTACAGGCATTAGTATGCAATACTTGTTTATTGATATATTTTTTGGTAATATTGTATTACATTATGTTCCGCGCTTGGGACTCGTAGGTAGTTTGTGTTCGATCAAGATAAGGCATTTGGAAATTTGTATTCCTACAATGAGCGTTTCTTATTCTTGCGTTTTCCACCTTTAGCATTTTCTGACTTCGGACCATTCTTGGTTGCTTTTGCATCGGGCACCACAAAATTTGGCTCCTGATTTTCCGATCCATTGAAAATGGAGTTATCAGCCTTAGCTTTTCCAGCCACATCGCACACGACCTTGTCCTTGGTTCCCTCAACAGCAACGTCATCAGTGGTTTCACCCAAGTTTTCGTTCAATTCCTTGTTGGTACCATCAGTACCAGCTGCGCCTTCAAGTTCACCGGGCGAGGCCTCGTTCTTAGGTTCCTCAGCGTTTTCAGGCAACCCAGACATGGCTTTCTCCTCGGGTTCCTCAACGGAAGACTCCTCAGCTTTTTTGGCCGATTCCAACATTGGTTTGTCCTCTGACTTTTCAACGGGCCCTTGTTCAGGAGTTGTATTCTTCATATCCTGATCGGATTCTTCACCATTTCCGAGGCTGAAAAATGGAAAAAGTTTGTACTTTTTCTTGTTTACCCAGTTGGTAGTTGTTGGCACATCTTATATTTAAAGTGTGTAGTTACTTATGTAAGCAATTGGTTGCAAAAAGAGCGATAAAGCACTCGAGATGCTATCTGGAGTAGGGAACGAAATTTGATTATAAAACAAGTAGAGAAGCTAAAGTCGGGTGTCCCAACTTTGGAATACTCTGTACATATTGAGGACTGGAGCAAAAAATTAAACATATAGAATTAATATAAATGCTAATATTTTCACATACTAGTTTAATGTATTATGTAATTAATATGTATCCAATAAACAGAATTATAATAAATTAATTTTCATTTGTGTATTGATTTATCTGTCTGGCAGAGCTAACCCAAAATAAACATTTTCTGCGTATTTACGCAAGGTGTTCATACGGACGGACAGACAGACAGACATACAGGGCTAGATCGACTCGTCTTGTCATGCTGATCAAGAATATACATACATACATATATACTTTGTGGGGTCTGCCACGCCTCATTCTGCCTGTTACATTTTCAAGCTCGGGCAAACCTAACCTAGTCTTGTAGCTTTCATGTACAGAGTATAACGACGCATGCGTGCCTGAGTACGTCGCACAAGACGAGTTAACAAAAAAAAAAAAAAAAAAAAAAGATGAAAATAATTTTGTTAAAATATATAGCGAAAGGAATGGCATTTACATTTAATTATTTGCATTTTTATTTAATAAGGTAAGAATGAACAGGCAACCAGCACGCAAGGCGCTTGCTAACGAAATCGCATTCTATTTCATTATTAAAATGCCTGCACGTTTTTGGAATGTATGTACATACATATGCACATACATACATACATACACACATACATATGTATGTGCATACAATGTAGAATTTGTAGAAAATTCCAGAAACCACATGACACCATGTGCCATTTTTTTTGCTTTTTAAAATATTGCCCGATGAATGAAGGATGCACATTATTTGTGGCACATTATCAATGTCGAAACCACTTGGGCACTAACCTGTCTCCGAAATCGGCCGTGCGCGGCTTCTTGCTACCGTCACGTGGCCCAGAGTCCCCGGAGTTCATTGAAAGGGCCAACTCGAACTTGCGCTTGCTGCCAACAGTAGCGTCTTCTAAGTCTGCCGCTGCTTGCGACGATTCTTCGAATTGGATCTCAGGCGACTTGGCGTCCATTTTGAAATATTGAAGGGTAGAAGAATGACTGTCGAAAAACCGTAATACACGTATTTAAATGCAAGTGAGCATAAATTGCAAATGCGGAGCGCTTCTTGCAACACTTACTTTAACAAATTAATTAATTAAATAAGTTTTCACTAAATTTGCAAAAAATTTACTCCGTTTTTTCAACTTCTGTCCGACTAGAACTATACGTCCGCCTAGAACACGAGAACTACCGGAAAGAGAACGCCTTTTGACGCATGCCAAGTGAGGCCGTATTTCTTTTTGGGAATTTGAAAAAGAGCTTCAGTGCGAAGTCAAGAAAGCATCGACATTTGATTTAATTTCTTCTTTTCGATAATTTGCGAGACAGTGTACACTACAGCTCCAAAAAGAATCGATTTAATCAGCGTTTAACTTTTTTTTGTTGAGAATCGATTAGTCGTGTAAAGTTAACTACACATATTTATTTGAGAATTAGTATTCAAGTACACTTTCAAGAGAGCAACTAAATCAAAATGCAACACATATGTACAAGTAATAACAAGAAAAAATGTTTAATTTTATATATAAATAAAAATGTAACTTTTAAAATATTGTGTCATAAATTAAAATAGAACAAATAAGATGATTATCTGTGATTAGATTGGCCACCAGGCCACCAAAGCCTGGAGAAGAAGGAACGACAAAGAAATAAAAAAATTTTGGAAATCAATTACGATTTTTTATTTGGATAGAATGCCTGCATGCTGACACTTCACATATATGTATATGTGTAGGTATATTTTCGGTGCAAAGCTAAATATAAAGACACACATTATCCAGAAGAGTAAATATGATTGTGACGCATGACGTTTTCTCCGCAAATGAATGCCCCTTAGTTGTTAATTAATGAACTAATCAATATTATTGACGAATCAAAACAAATGGGTTAATGTTTAGTATGATCGAATTGAAATTGTTTGATGGCATCAAAAAGTAATAAACATAAAATAATAATTGCTGTAATATTGTAATAATAATAATATTTCCTGAACCTAAAATCTATTTTATCGTTGAAATAATCTCAATGTAATCGAAAAAGATTGAGTATTTTGAAGGCGGTTCGATGAGTAAAATATTGTTACCGAAATTAATGTGGTGGTATTACATAAAAGAGTTAAATCGATATCTCCGATATTTTTAAGTTAGTCCGAAAACATAATGGTTTACTCAGTCATCGATGTATTTAAAATAAAATTAAAGGCGAATAAAAAGAAAAGAAGACTTCTCAAACGTCTTATTTAGTTAATGGATCAGATAATGCTGGACTATTTTACAATAATAATAATACAAACATATACTCTACCCCGTTTAACTTTAGCAGATATATAGTACATATATATTGTACTGATATGCCCCGATAATTGCAAGCTTTTACCATCGAAATGCTTAATTTCCAACTTGTTTATTGGAAATGTTGTAAACGGCTGATTTCATTAAGTTTGGTCTGAAAATCATTGCGTATTTAAACGTTTTTATTCCTAGTACATATGGATGTATGTATGTGTATGTGTCGCTGAGTTCTAAACGAACAATATTTTACTCGTAGAAGAAAAATTGAATTCAATGAATAGTTTAAGTATATTTTAAAGTAGCACGTATTTACTGCTCGAGTTAATTTATTTTCTTTGTTTGAACTGTTTCAGTTCATCAGTAACCCATTATTTCCCAGCACCCAAATGGTCCTAAGTACAGTCATACATACATATGTATGTATGTATGTATGCATGTATGTATGTATAATCAAACACCAATTGTGCATTGCCATGTGCATCGATCAACACTTCGAAATTAAACATTTCGGCATTACCGGCAGTGCATCTTGATCAGCGCCTGTCTGTGCTATTTGTTAATGCCAATTCAATTTGACAAATAAATTTCTTACTTATTTACGTTGTGCATAATTTCACTTTGCACTGCCCGGCAGGGCCAACCGAGACTAGCTAGCACACACACATACATACATATGGATATACATACCGACATATGTATGTATGTACGAGTACAGAGACAGACTCTGCTGTTTGTGGTTGCCATGTTTGCCATTTGCTTTCATACGCATCGTCGCACACCACCATTTGTTTGCCTCTCTGTCTGTGTCAGTGTGGGTGTACGTGTGTGTGTGTCTATCCTGCTGTTGCTGTCGTTGTTGTTACTTTGACAGCTCTTGTGGTTTATTATAACTGCATATATCATGCAAATACCAAAACCAACACCCCTCATCCACCCATAGAGGCCTGGCTAACATGGTACTGGTCGCATGGCCCAGTGCAAGGGCAACTTCAGCTTCTTACATAAATTCGGTTACACGTTTCTTGCCATTTTTGGGCCAGGAACGTTTTTGAAAATGATTTCATGCATTTCCATAGTTTTCACTTTGATTAAAAGTGCGGTCATGGCTTTTGTGGCATACTTTTTCTGGTCACATGCTGCACTTAAAAAAATTCCAGCGATGTAATGGACACTTAAAAATCACTCCACTTACTTGCAACTCCCCTGTTTAGAAACATATTGGGGAATGTTTCTGGATATGTGTATGTATGCATTATTCTGTTGTATTCCAATCAGATTGGCTGTATAAAATAAAAATTATACCGAACTTAAACTCGTCACTGGACCAGTTCTTGCATGACTATTTTCATAGAACCAAAAGAAATAGATAATTATCATAAATAGTGTATACCTCATTAACATATGCAGGAATTACCAACACACAGCTCTATTCAGAAAAGGGAATCATATAGTATTAAAAATAAATAAATGAAAAAATATTCAATATATATTCATAAAATACAGCCGGCTTTTAAAAATGTATGTGTAGACTGTAAATTATTGAATATGAATAAATCGACAAAAATATATGCCCTGTTTCACTCGATTATCCATTTAATTACACTTTTTACATTAGGTACACAAAATTTCTGTGAAAACAAATATCTGTAGATTTTTTGATCTTAAGAGTAACTTTGTTGAATGGCTTGAGTGCTTCCTGAAATTATTGACATTGCTTGATGGTGATAGATTTTTGATTATGAATGATTTAGCTATGAACAATTCGATAAAGCTAAGTGTGTATACGGACTCGACCAATTTTAGCTTTTAAGCTATAAAACGGCTACTTAAAAATGAGAAATATATTGCACAAATTTTATTCGAGTGCAGCTTTTGGGCAGCTTAAATGTAGCAAGGAAGAGGCAGCACAATAATAAATTGGATATTTTTGAGCTGTGGATCAAATGCATTGTTCCCATAATGCAAAGTATTTATTTCATTATTTGCAGTCAGTGATCGCATTAAATGTTTTCCTGCCACGTAAGAGTGCGCACATTACTGCAACACACCCACACACACACACACACACACACACACAGAGCAGACACACACACACACCACATACACCACATGCACATAATTCATTTTTGTCTCAATATTTGACAAATGTATTTATAATTGCATGCCGCAGATAAAATCTGTTTTGACATGCAACGAATGCAACAGCTTCCCCTCCGTCTTGCTATCAATGCCGGAGCCATCAGCCCAGCATCAACAGCAACAGCAACAGAAACATCATCAACAACAACAACAAGAACAACAACAAGAACATCGTAATCATCTTTAGCGATAGCATTGTTATTGCTTTAACAAGCAGAGCATTTCCAAGCAATTTGTAATTGGTAATTTATGGCACGTTTTAACGAGCTCTCTGGAAACCTCTGCATAGTTTGAGGTTGCTCGAAAAATTATCAATGTGTAAATTGCTCGCAATTATTTTCATCAAATTTAAATGGTGAGCCAACAACAAAATCCAACAAAATGCTTCTTTTGTACATACTTAATTGATCTGCTCTTAATAATACTCGAATTTATTGATGAAAGCTGTTCAATTCTTTTTAATTTTACGTTTCACGGAATGCCATCAAACACAATTAGAAAATATAATTTTCCAAAATGTATTCAATGTGTATATTTGAGCAGAAAATTTCAATTTCTCCATTATGATTTTTGTTGTAGATGTTGTTGTTCTTGTAGTGCCCACCGCTGTTTTAGAATATGGTTTACCAGCTTTTTGAATTGGATCGATGGCACCGCATTCTTGCCTGAAGCCGAATTGGAAATCAGGCAATACGGTTACCTTCGTCAGTGTAGGGAGAAAACTGATGGAATGAATGCAATGAAATCAATTCAATATACTTACAATTAATCAGATATATAGTGATGGATTGCAGACAAACTCAGATGTAATAGATGGAGCACCAAATAAACCCAAATATTGGCTCTCCGAGTCAGCCAAAGCATTTACGAATTGTATTTTTTTAGACATACCACTATTTGACATGAGCGAGATCACGTTTCACTTTTTGATAAATACAGAATGTATGCAAATAATATGAATTCTCTAAATTGAATGCCAATAACATATCTCTAAAGTTTCGGAGATTAATGACGATTATGTAATTTGTAAAAGACGCCAGTGTACATCGAATTGTTGTATGCCTTTGGAAGAAGGGCAAAAGTTAAGTAATGTATTGCGTCCTATGAAAAATTGGTAATACGTCAGTGGGGGGGAGGGGGGGTTAAAGTTGTATACAGTTTGCCAACACTTTGTCGACATCGCACAATTGTACGGTAGACAGTTTTTGTGCATGTCATTTGCAGTTACCATTTTAATTTCATTAATTAATTTGTTTATAAACAGAATCGCAGGCACAGAGCGACCGACGCATAGCAGCTGCCACAAAAACCAAAAACAACTATTAAACATAAATCTTATAAATTTGTTGTAGTCAAAGTTCTGGCAAGGTTTCCTGCCACTCGTGTACGTATACCCATATAGGAAGAGAACAAAGAGCGGAGAGAACAAAAACGCCAGTGCCATGCTTCTGGCTGAGATTCTCGCCATCGTTCAGAACATATTTCATTTAGCTGCAACTTTTGAGCACGCCCCGCGACAGTCGTGAACAACACACGCCCTCCACCACCGCCACCGCCACTGCCACCGTCAACTGCAATCCCTTAGCTTATTGTAGTGCGGGCCAAAAAACTTTGCACACACACACACACACACAAACACACTTTCACACACGCTCACAGTCGTGCTAAAAGACATAGGAAAGGAGAGAGGAGGAGGTGCTGGCGATGACGATGTTGCCGACACATTGTTTGTTGTCTAACTGCCTATGACTATTTAAGACACACACCCACACCCAC